ATAGTTATATAAATATTAAAAGTAAATAAAAGAGAAGAAAAGTAGGACTATATAATAGTAGCTTAATTCTAATCCATAGTTAGTCTATTTCTTAAGAAAAGAGTTAGTTTAATTATATAAAGTATTAATAAGTAGTTATTATAATATATGTTAAATTAAAAAATATCTTCTAATAGTAAAGTTATTATTTAGGTTAATTAATAGAGATCTAGTCTAACTATTTACTAAGAATCCCCTTCTTTATATATCTATTCTATACTCTACTATACTACTTAAATAACTTAATTATCTATTTATCTATTAATCTTTTTAATTATAGTAATTAATAAATAATCTATTAATTACTTTATAGAGTTATATAATATTATATTCTATTCTAAGTACTAGTATATCTAACCTTAGTTTAACTTATTTAACTCTACTTATATATTCTATATATTTATAATATAATACTCCTCTCTTTAGTAGTTTTATCCTTAGAGCTATTAAAGTAGACTACTTAAATAGTAAGTAGTTATATATTATAAACACTATAAGTATATATATAGGGGTATATAAGATAGACTAGGGTTAGGCACACTAGTACCTAGATAGGATAGGAAGTTATATAATAGCTTAAGAGATTACTATAATAATCTAGTAAGCTAGGAGGATTATTAGGATTATAAAGTAAACTAAGTAATCTAAGTAATATAGTAGAGAATAGAATAGATATATAAAGAAAGGGATTTCTAGTAGATAGTTAGACTAAACCTCTATTAATTAATCTAAATAATAGCTCTAGTTTTACTATTAAGAGATATCTTCTAATATAATTTATACTATAATAATTATTTATTAGTACTCTATATATTTAAACTAACTCTCTTTTTAAAAAATAGACTAATTATAGAATAGGATTAAACCTAAAGAGTTTATAAAGTTTTTATAAGGTTCTTATATATTTTTTAAATAAAAGTAGTTTTTTTTATTAAATAAAATAAGAATAATTCTTTTTTATACTTTATATTTTAAATATCTTTTTAGCTTTATACTTATTTATATTTTTAATAATACTATTTATAGTAAGTATAGTATTATTTAATATTTTCTTTAATAATAAAATATAAAATATAGAATATATTTTTAGTTTATAATTAGTTTTTAATAGTTTTTATTTAATAAAGAATAATTTAATTTTCTTTTAATTAAGTTTATTATTAAGTTATTTTATTTTATCTTTTTAGGATTAATATTATTAATCTTTTTTTATTTCTATAGTATTTTATTT